GCCCCCACTGATGTCCTGGAGGGTTAAATTCACAGCAGTCAACAACTCTTCAAAAGGCCTATGTTTCTTAAGGTGAACAGATGGCTAGGGGAGGGCCTGGACACAGAAGCAGATTTATCTTGTCAAGCTGTTATCTCTTGGTAAATGACCTTAAGTAGGTCACATGACAACAGTTTGGTTCCCAGGTCTCTGAAGGTAATGGCCATCCATTAACTCTTTCATTCCTGTTCCTTTTGGATAGCTGTGTAGCCAGTTGTTCTTGTCATGGTGGTGGTGGTGGTGGTGGTGGTGGTGGTGGTGGTGGTGGTGCGGTGGTGTATGTGTGTTTGTGTGTGTGTGCATGCGCATGTCTGCTGGACCTTGCAGATCCTAATAAAGATTTTATACACCTTCAGAAATATTTAATTGCTTCAATGTGATTGTGGGGGAACTAAAATATTTTACTTTGGGGTTCTTGAGAATGGCAGAACTGCTACTGTGAAGGGGAACTGTGAACTGACTGCAGAGAGCCCAGGCTGAGCACCCGCACTGCTGGGGAACCCTCACGCCCTGAAAGGGTTTGCGGGCAGGCCGCCTCCCAATCCCAGGCTTCTCACTTCACAGCCACAACAGCGCATGGCTTGAGCACCCACTGTTCTGCTCCAAAGCCAGGAGAAATGAAGCACAGTTCTGTGCTGGTGGGGGGTGGGGGTCTATTTTGGAGGTCCTGCTTTTTTTTTTTTTTGTGCAGGGTCTTACCATGCAGCTGGGACTCATAGTGATCCTCCTGTTTTCAGCCTTCCCAAAGCTGGGATTACAGGTGTGTGGACCAGGTCACCTGGGGGTGGGGCTGGTGCGGCCTGTGGTGCCAGGGATGGAACTCCTAGAGGTCCTGCTTTTGGAATGCCCTTCTTTATTGTGTGCGTCCCCTTTTGTGAGTGTTCCTTGCTATAAAAAGCGGAAGTCTTTGCCCTTTCAGCACAGGCAGAGAGCTGTGTGCTAGGTCAGCAGACTCCAGGGAGTGTGGGAGAGCCCGACCAGGTCCAGCCCCGGCACGGAAATTGGCTGTGTACAGTCTCTTCAAAGGGATAACACAGCCTGCATCTGGTACCCTGATCACTTTTCTTCTGTTAACTTCTTGCTTTTTCCAAAAGCAGTACTTTATCTAAAGCCATTTTCCCCAAGTTGTCTTCCCAGAGAAATGCACATATTTCCATGTACTTCTTCAGGCATCAGAATCCCTATTAACCCATAGTATAAGGGCACTATGTACTATAGCAGTGGGGTCAGAGATTTTTAGCCTGTCTAATGTCAGGACAATCATTTCATTCAGTCCTGAGCCATCCGAGAGGGACATATTGAAACTACAGTCAATGGAAATCAGGTAATGCGCCTTTATCCTCTCAAAAAGAAACCTGTGTAAGTGGATGTGTACAGTGTGAGTGTGTGCATGTGTGTGCATGTGCATGTGTATGTGTGTGTGTGTGGTACAGGCATGTCCAATATGTGGTCCATGGGTCACATGCATGGTTCGGTGAGCATTTAGGTACTTTTTTCATGATCTAAGTGTGCGGTACTTGAGCGCCAACTGTGGAGGTGGCCATGGGATGTCCTGCAGGGAGGACACAGTGTGGTGCTGACCCCCAACTGTGCACCCTTCATGCCCCACCCACCCGGAAACCATGTGTTTCCCACGTGTGCTTGTGTGGCTTGGTGAATAAAACAGCAGTTTCTGATAGCAGCCCTTCAATTTTCTTGTACATGGATGCCTGTGAAAACAGGCATTTATGGGTTAGCGAGGAGATATGTTCTCTTATTTATTAAATGTGGGCTTATTATTTTATAAAACAGTTTGATAAGTTAAAATATAAAGAAGAAAGACCTATTACTCCTGCACATTAATTGTGTTATAGATTTTATAAGCAGTCCATGCACACCAAAAGGTTGGGCACTTATAGTGTAGGTATAGGATATACTATTGCAAAACTTTTAGAGCTCTCAAAGATAAATATATCCCACTGCAGCAGGCATGCCATAAGTCTGGCACTACTGGTTCATATGTAAATGTATGGCACTAGGAAACAAACATTTGCACCTTATATATTTGCTTTTTTGAGCCAGAAAATATTAGTGTGGTAGGAATAAATGTTTATTATACAATTTACAGTGAAGGCTTTAATTTCTATTTATACAAGAACAATATCCTCACATACATGTCTAACTGTAAATACAGTATGTTTTTTAACAAGCACCTTGAGCCAGCTTTGAGCAGCATGGCAGACTAACCATTCACAGAAAACCTCTCCAGCACTAAAACTGAATATAACAGAAGCCAAAACCCTTACTAAGTGCTTGTTTGAGCTGTTGGGAAAGTTGAAACTCATTCAGGGGGCAGAAGTAATGAGAGAGCTGAGGAGATATGGAAAAAGGGGAGTCCTGGAGTTGGCATTGCTGGGAGATTTAATGTACAAGAGCTTGGGACCGAAGCATTTGGGAGATCAAAGTGGAGATACACAGAGGGAGTTGCTCCTCCTCAAGGACAATGTATTTATGGGCGAGGTAGGTAAAAACTCCAAAAACAGAGAGTTTTTGGACACTGCATGTTTTTCTCAGTCTTCTTTTCTGATGGAAGGGAGGGAGGTTGAGTGGAAAATTTCCTTAGAGAATACATTAACTGAAACTTGCACTCATCTATTTAGGAGCTTGAATTCACAACATCTGTGTGAGTCCAAATCCCTCACGTTAATTTTTATGCAGTTCCAATAAGCTTTGTGGAATGCCATTTATGTGAGGTACTTACAGCAGTCAGATTCATAGAGATAAAAAGGTTGGAAAAGTGAATGTACTTAACATTAATGAACTGTATACTCTATGATGTTTAACATTGTAAATTTTATGTTGTGCATCTTTTACAGTTTTTAAAATTTTAAAATTCCTTTAAATTTATTTTAAAGCAGTCTCGGGTTGGTCAGCCTCCCTAACTGCATAAAAAAAAACAGATACAGCAAAACAAACCAAAAAAGCAAGAAGAAGAAAAAAGGAGGGAAAACAAAAAAAGAGAAGAGGCTGCTGCCAGCCAACACCTCATAATAAGCTCTCAGGTTTTTGAGCTGTGATCAACAGAAAGCAATTTTATTCTAAAACACGAGGAAACATGCTCATATGAAGAGCAAACTGCAACAAAACTTGAATATGTGTAAAAAAGCAGATAGTGGAAGTCAGATTTATCAATTATAGTCTAAATGTATATTTTATACTTTTAGAGATCGAATTGAACACATGTTGAAAGAAAAATAAATTAGCAAGTTTAACCAAGCAGATTTGAAAGGAAACCAAGTAGAACTTAGTAAGTGAAAGGAAAGCAATAGTTTTTGATATTTTAAGATAAAGAGATAGGCCAAGCACAAGATGACTCCACAAGGAAGGGAATTAACAGAGAGGAAGACCAAACCCAGGAAATTATGGCTCAAAGGTGTAAGTGGAGGGAAGCAAGAAAGAGATATGAAAGACAGGAAGGGTTGATAAGTAGGTCCCACATGTATCTAATTGGAGTTTATGATGTAAACAGCAAAGAACATGCGAGTGAAGGAAAGTTCAGGGAGGCAGTGGTTGAGCTTCTGCAGAGATAATAAAAGACAGATACATTCTCATATTCAGGAATCCCTATGGACGGCAATAATACAGTAATGACCAATTCATACTAAGTTGGATCACAGGGAAAATGCAGAATAGAAGCAATAATGATGTTAAAAGCATCCAGAAGGAAAAGATAAAACACTTCAAAGGGAAGCCAACTAGTTTCAGCTCAATTATGCACAGTATCAATAAATGGTATTTGAAAACAGAGTATCTTTGACTAGCTTAGAAAAATAAATACAGGGGCCAGGGAGATAGTTCAGGGGTTTAAGTAAATTCAATCTCCAATGCAAAAAATTAAAAATAAATAAACAAATAATTATCTATTTGAATTCAGAATTTTTTTATTTTTTGGTGGAACCAGGGATTGAACTCAGACCATTGTGCTTGCCAGGGAAGCACTTATTCCACTGAGCCATCTCCCCGGCCCCCATGAATTCAGAAATTTTATGAAATTATTTATTATGATTAAAGGAATAAGGTCATTTCTAGACAAACAAAAGCTAAACATTATAATCCAGACATTCACTGAAGGAAATTCAAATGTATCTTAGGAAAAAAACAACAACAACAAAACAAACAATGAAGACATAAGATAAAACAGTGAATGAAGAAACTAGCAAACAGGAAGGTTTAGCTAAATAAACACTGGCTATTTATACCCTTTATAACAGTAAGATGTTGTCTAATAACTGGGATTAGAACAATAAAATAAGCTCAAAGTTCTTGTAAGAACAGCATAAAACTTACATGGTACATAGAATTGGAAAATTCAATAGTTATTACTAGAAAGAATAGCAAAAATACTTTTATTTAAAGTTTGATTATATATATATATATATATATATGTATATATATTATTACATTATAACCATCAGAGACTTGAATAGTATATGTATCTTCCAAAAAGGCAAAAATAAAATGAGAGAAACTAATTAATAAAAATAAATAAAGAAGAGATAACAATAACTCTGACAAAACACTAGAAAGACCCTATTAGTAAACATTCTCAATGTAAATAGAGTAAATTTTCCATTTAAGAGATGAAGCATATCTGGATAGGCAAGTTCTCAAATCAACCATATGCTGGACTCAGGTTGTCCTCCTGCTTCAGCCTTTGAAGTAGCTGAGATTATGGCGCACCCAGGAACACATGATCTGAAACTATTGTAGCTACCCAATATCTCATAGCATTTTTCTGTCCTTCACAAAAATGGCAGCATTGACTTTTGCTCACATTAGTTGCAAGTTTTTGTAAGTACCACCTTCTAGGTGGCTAGTGCATTTTCCTAGCTGATTCATGGATCTGATTTCTGATGATTTTTAAATTTGATTACCATTAATCACATGATAGTTCACACCAATTTCTAAGACAGCCTGCTTACCTGTCAAGGTGGGACATAACTGTTTTGGAGATGTCTGCACCTGCTTCTTGCAATATTCGGATAATCTGAAATGGTGCACTTGGACTGCGTCCAGGATGGATAATAACAGGACAGCCAAGCTGAACCTGGGCATGTGCTGTTGCCTGAAGAACCTTTCTTTCACTCTCAGTCAAAGGCCAGGAGCATCCAATTTCTCCAATAACACCACACTTGATAGTGGTACCATCGGCTCCATGGAGAATATCATTAATAAGGACATCGGTGAGCTAAGGAAGAGTTGGAATGAACATGTCATACAGACTGTGAAATTCTGTTTGTTTGTTTTTTTTCCGTGAAAGTTTTACTTCCCTCTGCCAATTCTTAGGATCACAGTATTAAAAAAAAAAAAAAAAAAAAAACAGGAAAACAAGAGAATAGATTTTCTTTCACTCTTCCCATTTGTTAAAAAAAAGGAAGCATATTTACCCAAATGCCATTTCACCTTGCAGTGAGATTTCATTCTTGCTTATTATAAAACCCAGAGGGAAATATTACAAATGCACAACTGAAGTTTAAGATGGAAAAGTGAAGGTGACAAATAGACTGGGACACCACAATTGCACATTGGTAGGGTATATACAAATCTATTAACCCACTGCCAGCACATTCAGATCTCCTCCCTCAACACTTTTTTGTTA